TCCTCCCTCCTCCTCCTCTCCTCCTCCTCCTCCTCCTCCTCCTCCTCCTCCCCTCCAACTCCTCCTCCTCCTCCTCCTCCTCCTCCTCCTCCCTCCTCCTCCTCCTCCTCCCTTCCTCCTCCTCCTCCTCCTCCTCCTCCTCCTCCTCCTCCTCCTCCTCCTCCTCCTCCTCCTCCTCCTCCTCCTCCTCCTCCTCCTCCTCCTCCTCCTCCTCCTCCTCCTCCTCCTCTCCTCTCCTCCTCCTCCCTCCTCCTCCTCCTCCTCCTCCTCCTCTCCTCCTCCTCCTCCTCCTCCTCCTCCTCCTCCTCCTCCTCCTCCTCCTCCTTCCTCCCCTCCTCCTCTCCTCCTCCTCCTCCTCCTCTCCTCCTCCTCCTCCTCCTCCTCCTCCTCCCTCCTCCAACTCCAACTCCACTCCTCCTCCTCCTCCTCCTCCTCCTTCTCCTCCTCCTCCTCCTCCTCCTCCTCCTCCTCCTCCTCCTCCATGCGTCTTCGCCCCGGGACCAGCGCAGACCGATCCTGCCCGAAAGCATGCTGCCGACGAAGGATGGGATCTAGGCCCTCTAGACCCCATGCTCCTTCTGCAGCATGCTTTTTCGCCCCAGACTCCTAGGGCTCTGGTCGCGACTTCGCGCGACGCCTTCGTTTCCTCGCAGCGCCGGATCTCAGGGCGGGGCCCGGCACTCCTGGGCCCAGGGCCCCTGGGCTGAGGATCGGCGTGCCTCCTCTGGCCAGGCCAGGGGGGCGCCGGCACCGGTCCTGGCCCCTCGACGGGCAACCGCGAGCGTGCGTAGCCCTTCCTCCCTCCTCCTCCTCTTCCTCCTCCTCCTCCTCCTCCTCCTCCTCGTCACTTCCGGCGCCCTGACTTTTCCAGTCGATTTCCCAGGGACCGCCTCTTCCTTCCGAGCCGCTGCCCAGCGGCCCCCGGGCCTGGCAAGCAAGGGCCACCAGAGGCCGAGAAAGCTGCAGAAGATTCGTCCCCCGCAGTCGCGGCTAAAGAGTGAGGGGGGGCGCGGGGGTCTCGCGGCGCGGGTGGGTCTCGCGGCGCGGGTGGCCCGCGGGTGTGTCGGGGCGCGGGTGAATCGTGGGGCGACGGCGGCAAAAACAAAACCAAGCACAGATAGTTTTAAGACTGCTCGCTTTTACCTGCTCGCGTGCCGTTCACGCATGTTCCAAACCAGCGATACCCGCCTTCTTCGTCTCTGATCGTGCCCTGGTTAATGGCGCAGCCCTGACAACCAGGGAAGGAAGGGAGGAGGGACGAGGCAAGGGGGAGGAAGAAGGATGGAGCACGAGAGAGAGTTGCAGGATGAGGGTTAGGAGCAGGAGTACCAAAGAGAGAACCAGACGAGCGGGTCGGGCGGGCGGATCCTAGCTGGCGGGGCGGGCGGGCGGGCGGGCCCGGACGGCCAGGTCGAGCAAGCGGGCTGCTGAAGCGCGAGTCTTACACGGGTCGCAAGGAAGTGTCGAGCGATAGCGCGATTCCCAAGTAGATCGTGAGAGCGCCCAGGGCGAGATCGTGACTCCTGAGGGCGCGGCGTTGGAATAGATTGCAGGGAAGTCCCAGGCGAGAGCGCGATTCCTCCATTACATTTGTGAGGAAGCCCCGCGCGAGAGCGCAACCCCTGCCTAAAATATGAGAAGTCCCGCGCGAGAGCGCGAGTTTCAAATGCACTGCAGGGAAGTATGAGGCGGGAGCAGTTGTTGATGCAACCGGGGGGCCAGGGGCCCAGGTTGAGGACCAAGACGTTCCCTGATAGTAAAACAAAGTGCGGGCCTTGGGATGAGCACTTGAATCCAAACAACACAATGTGCACCGAAGCGGGGAGATGAACAGCAATTCTTCTGTAGAAATGAGAATCAAACAGCAATCATTGTAACACTGTTCGTTCCTATCTGCTCACGTGCCATTCAGCACGTATATCCCAAACCTTCGGTGCCCGCCCTCTTCGTCTTCGGTCGTACCCCCATTGGGGGTATATCTTTATGACCTGCCACGTGTAGTTCGCGTGGCTCCTAAAACAGGGAAAGGGGGGAGGGAAAAGGATGGAGCGTGAGAGAGGTTGCAGAAGGGGGGGGCGAGGAGCAGGAAGCACGCGGCAGAACCAGATGGGCAGATCGGGCGTGTACACCCTCCTCCTCCTCCTCCTCCTCCCCCTCCTCCTCCTCCTCCTCCCCCTCCTCCTCCTCCTCCTCCTCCTCCTCCTCCTCCTCCTCCTCCTTCTCCTCCTCCTCCTCCTCCTCCCCCCCCTCCTCTCCTTCTCCTTCTCCTCCAGGTGGCCAGGTCGAGCAAGCGTGCTGCTGAAGCGCGAGTCCTGCATGGGTCGCAAGGAAGTGTCGAGCGATAGCGCGATTCCCAAGCAGATCGTGAGAGCGCCCAGAGCGAGATCGTGACTCCTGAGGGCGCGGCGTTGGAATAGATTGTGGGGAAGTCCCACGCGAGAACGCGATTCCCCCATACTTCGTGAGGAAGCCCGCGCGAGAGCGCGAGTTTGGAGTACATTGCGAGGGAATATCAGGCGGGAGCCGCTGTTCTTGCAAACTGGGGGCCAGACGCCCAGTTTGAGTTTCAAGAGCTTCAATTGCAAAGAAAACAATGTATGAGCCCCGACTGGAGCATTTTAGTCGAAACATGTGGGCACCGGCGGGGATCAACAATAACAGCAGTTATGTTTAGAAGTGAGGGCTCAACAACGACAATCCGCATCGCGGAAACCCACCACAGCCACGCACCCAGGGACTGTGTAAGACCGCTGGGCGCCTCACTCTGATGTTCTGTCGTGATTTTCGTTCGCAACGTGGACCCCCAGAGGTATGGACATGTTTTGTCGCTTCCCCACGGCCACGGTGCCAGGTAAGGGCCCCGGAAAGCAGAGTAGTGATTCATCAACACTTAATGTCGTCGGGTTTTTTCGCATCGAGAGGAGTCAGAGTTTCGTTTTCGGGTCGTAGCTTGGGTCTCCGGCGGCCGTTCGGGACGATCCAGGCACCCCCGGAGCACCCTCGGCGAGGCGCAGTTGCTAGAAAGCACCCCGAGGTTGAAAAGCCGCCGAGAACAGACGAGAAAGTTGGAAAACCCCTAGCCGCGGACCCGTTGCGTCCTCCCCCTTGCTGTCGGGTGTTGCTAGAAGTGCCCCTGGCCCATGGTGCCCCCAGGACTTTCCAGGGAGGCACCGGCGGTCTCCAGCCCAGAAGGCCCCAGGGGCTCCAAAAGTGGAACGAACAGCTGGGGGCACCCTGGGCCAGGGGCACCCTTCCCAGACCCCCGACGTAATGATTTTTTCATTACGTCGACCCCCAGAGGTCCCGACCCTTTCCCCATGACCGGCTTTGCATCCTCAGTCGTTTTTTGACGCTCCCGAGGCCCGGTGAGGGCCCCCGGAGGCCGAACATCAGGAAAAACCTCCCGTCATGATTTTTTCATTGCTCGAGGGGGTCTGGGTTGGCAGCCCCCCCCATGCGGAGGTCTGGGCCCCCCTCCAGGATCGCCACCCGCCCGGAGGCCGCCGGCGCCTTCGGCGGCGGCGCGAGCGGCTCGGCCGGCGCCGGCCCGCTCCTCGCCTCGGAGGACGCCGCGCCCGCGAGCGAGGCCGCCGAGGAGAAGGCCACCCCCGAGGAGAAGACCGCCGAGGAGATCCAGGCCTCCCAAACTTCACCACCCACCAGACCGCCTCAGCCCAACCCGAATGCCCCAACCTGCTCTCCCTATCCAGCAGTGGGGGGAGGGGCGTCGGGGAACGTTGAAAAAACACATGCGGAACCCGTACTCCCCCAACCCGTGCCACCACCGAGGAGACGACCACCGATCGAAGACGAAAAAATTGCTTAGACATAAAGTTTCGGCGCTCCGCGCAGATTTCTTGGACCTGCGCTGGGGCCCTCTGGCGGCGCCTCCAGCGCCGCCCCTGGTGCGCTCCAGCTCAGATCCAAGAAATCCACGCAGACCGTCAAAAGATTATGTTTATGCCGTTTTGGGTTTCGCTAACCGAGGAGATCCAGGCCTCCCAAATCGGGAGTCCGACACTGGGGGGAGACAGGCCAGAGGTTTTCTTCATTTGTCGGTTCTTGGCGGTTTCCCAGCCTCGGGATGTGTCTCAGCGGCTGCGCCTCTCCGAGAGCGTTCCCGGGAGTGCTCGGATCGCCTGGAGGCTCGAGTTATGGCCAGAAGACCACCGGTGGAGGCGGGACCCTGACTCTGGCCATCGCTCGGACGTCCATTCCCTGTGCTTTTTTCGGTTTCGTGCGTGGTTTTTTCGCCAAATGATCAAGGATGCTCCTCGATGGTCCTCGCCGCAGGAAAAGTGCACACCTCCGAGCCCGGGCGTTGCAGCGTTCCCGCGCCCAGCGTGCCCCCGCGCAGTTTCGGGCCCCGGGGCCACCACAGACCGATGCGGCTGGGCAAGCACAGCAGAAAGAGGTGGTGCGGGGCTCCAGTCTTATGATGTTCCAGCCGACCTTAGTCTTGATCGCCAGGAGGAATGTCGAGCACCAGGAGAACACCCCCAAACTCGAGGGTTTTCACGTGTCGGGCCCTGGGAGCCACGCGCCCGACACCCTTTCGACACCCTTTCGACACCCTGTCGACACTCC